TTTGGATGAAATTGAAGAGTAAATGAAAGATTTATAGGTTATGAGCTCAAATATTCAGCATTTAGAGCTCAAAAATTGGTTGGAGAAGCATTTAGAACTCCAAATTGGTTGTTCATGGTGGTTGAGAATATTGAAGAAGATGGCATTTTGGTAAATATTTGAGATCTTTTGGTTTTTCTATCTTTTTGCTAATTTTAGAATTTAGAAAAAAAAAATTCATAATTTAATGGTATTTTCGTGAATATGTGAAGTTGATAGGGATATATTTGTGAGAAAGTGGCAAAATATGAAGAAAAAGAAAAAGTGGGTTATTTTTGGTTTGACCCAAAAAAAAAAAGTTATTTGTGAAACAATCCTAATATAATCGTGTAAATCTATTATCTTATATCAAAGGTGATAATGCACCAGAATAAAAGTTATTTTTTTTATTACATCGTATTTTTATGTTGTCTTAAAACTTTTTTTTAATTCTAATCGATATGCTTGATAATTATATTATAATTTTAATTTATTTTAACTGATATTTGATGATTAATTTATATTTCTCATTATGTATAGATAAATATCAAATTTGAATATATCAAGTAAATTTTTGTCCTTATCTGATCTTTCCTTGGTTCCTATATATACTTTCATATTTGTTTGATTATGAATCAAATCATCGTCTTCTCTTTTTTTTTCATTATTTTCTCTGTAGTAAGTTTTCTTTTCTCTCTTTTTGTTACATAATTGAAGTAGATATTATGTCATCATTGTTTTGGTTATTATGATCGTATATTATGTCAAATTTTGATTCTCTATGTTTTCCTCTTTTGCTTTTTTTATTTCCTTTTTTTGCAGGTTCAAATTTTGTTTTGGTATTCTTTATATTTTATGTTGGACGTAGATTTTTATTGATGTTTTGGTTAATGAAATTTTGGTTTTTATTTAATATTTTAGAGTGGAGATGCCCGAAAGAAATTTCAAATAGGTCTCTGGTGACTGAAAACTAAAAAGGGAATAACAAGATATTACCAAAAGTGGTGCAAAGTTTTGTGTGTGAGGAGAGAGAAAGAAGAAACATGGATTGAGTTAAGATTTTTTTTTTTTTTTGTGTATGGAAAATGTTGAGTTTTGTGTCTATTTAGTTTTTTTTGTTTGTATATACGTTTCATCGACCGGAAACCAAATCTATCTTTGAATTCCATCGGAAAGAAGAAACGGGATCTCCTTTGAGTGCATGGTACTTCCGAAAGCTGAATAATCTTTTTTTTTTTTAATTATGCTTTTGTTTTTACTGATTTTTGAAATAGGATTGAATATACACTTCTAATGAATTCATAAAAGTTCAATGTTTATCAATGTTCATTCTCATGTTAATCAAACATATCGTGACATGCTATATAAAGAAGATAATAATATAAAAAACGTTTTGTCTGTCTTCATCAAAGTTGTATTTGAGTTGGATGAATCCCGATTTATTTGGGGTTATCCTTATTAATGTTTATCACTTAGTTTTGACAAAAAAAAATATTTTTAAAGGATATGGGTGATCCTCAGTGTTTTTATCTCAATTTTTTTAAAAATTAATTCGTTTTAAAATATTTGAAATTTTTTTTTTATAGCCTGTCTTC